GGGTAAACCCCCCCCCCCCCCCCACCCAATGACTTTGACGATCGACATTATTGGAAGAGCTGTCTTGAAACACGTCTGATTCAAGAATATATATTTATTATACTCGCGTAGCTGTATCATACTTAGTAGGTTAAATTAAATTAAATTAAATTAAATTAAATTAAATTAAATTAAATTGAATTGAATTGAATTGAATTGAATTGAATTGAATTGAATTGAATTGAATTGAATTGCATTGAATTGAATTGAATTGAATTGAATTGTATTGAATTGAATTGAATTGAATTGAATTAAATTAAATTTAACTCGTGTGACTTCCTCGCCTACTGCAACGGCTGCTTCAACTATATTGCCTAATTCGCAAATATCCGAATTTCATGAAAATTGGACGAAATTACAAAATTCACACTAACTTTGAAAGCAAGATAGCATCATGCGACAAACCTCAATGAATTGCACTGGCAAAAGCAGTTGCGGTCAGTTTCGAGCGGAGCGCGAAATAACGACGAACGATAATTAAGGTGACGTCGTCTTCGATAAATCGTGGTCAGAGAATTGTGGAGGGGAGTGGTAAGAGGTCCCCCAGAAGGGTTACTCTAATTCGTCCGTTTAGCTAATACAGCACACTACGACAGTAATCCTTGCCGATAAGTGACGTGCATGTAGAAGCCGAATGTACTATTGTCATGTCGTTCCGTGGTGCCTTTTTAAACACATAGAGTTTAATAATAGCACAATATTTAATAAAATTTAATAATAAATATAATAATAATAATATAAAATATAATTTAATAAAAACACATAGAGTATTTTCTAGAGTACAAGTTCCGTGATACATAGAAAAAAAGAAGCATGCTGTGCCGCCGACGACGATTCCTCTTTGCTGTCACTCTCCTCTCATACCTGTGCAGAGGTAATCGCGGCTTTATCTGTCACCCATCCGTCCGTGGCCCACGAAGCGTTCGGCGAGCAACCACGCCAGCATATAGTGATCTGGAGCCATACAACTCGAAGCTACTTTGTATTGTAGATTATCTGTGTTAGACGACCGAGACAATCTTCATTGAGATTCCCTTACAGTGAACCTGGTTCCCGGATCTATGGATCTGGTATTCCGCTTCACTCGCTTGTGTTCCAGTTTCTTGAATCTCTGGAAAGCAGCCGGTTATGTGCACGCTTCTCCTAGTTTCGACGCTGAAAGTATCGCGGAAATGACGTGACTCGGATTTGATTTCATATGAGGTAGATCGAGATTTTGAGATTTCGTGATTTCGAAAGTTTCGGATTTTGAGAGTTTGATATTTTGGGATCTTGTGATTTCGAGATTCTAAGATTCTGAGATTTCGGAGATTTTGAGATTTTAAGATTTCGTGATTTCGAAAGTTTCGGATTTTGAGAGTTTGATATTTTGGGATCTTGTGATTTCGAGATTCTAAGATTCTGAGATTTCGGAGATTTTGAGATTTTAAGATTTCGTGATTTCGAAAGTTTCGGATTTTGAGAGTTTGATATTTTGGGATCTTGTGATTTCGAGATTCTAAGATTCTGAGATTTTGAGATTTCGAGATTTTGAGATTTTGAGATTCTGAGATTTTGAGATTTCCAAAGTTTCGGATTTTGAGAGTTGACGTGACTCAGATTTTATTTCATATGAGATAGATCGAGATTTTGAGATTTTGAGATTTCGAAAGTTTCGGATTTTGAGAGTTTGATATTTTGGGATCTTGTGATTTCGAGATTCTAAGATTCTGAGATTTTGAGATTTCGAGATTTTGAGATTCTGAGATTTTGAGATTTCGAAAGTTTCGGATTTTGAGAGTTGACGTGACTCAGATTTTATTTCATATGAGATAGATCGAGATTTTGAGATTTTGAGATTTCGAAAGTTTCGGAATTTGAGAGTTTGATATTCTGGGATTTTGAGATTTCGAGATTCTAAGATTCTGAGATTCTAGAATTTTAAGATTTTGAGATTTTGAGATTTCGAGATTTCGAAAGTTTCGGATTTTGAGAGTTTGATATTCTGGGATTTTGAGATTTCGAGATTCTAAGATTCTGAGAATGTGAGATTCTGGAATTTTAAGATTCTGAGACTTTGAGATTTCGAGATTTAAAAATTTGAGATTTTGAAATTCTGAGATTTTAAGATTTTGAGATTCTAAGATTCTGAGATTCTGGAATTTTAAGATTCTGAGATTCCGAGATTTTAAAATTTGAGATTTCGAAATTCTGAGATTCTGAGCTTTCGAGATTTTATAATTTGAGATTTTGATCAGAATACTCGAATGTTAGTTCCAAATTTTGAGTAACATGCAGGCGATGTTGCATGTCTGTATTCGTCTAAACAACAATGTGCAAATTGAATATTATTTCCATTGCATTTCTCTAGTTTGTCTCATGAGACCATACATTCTTCCTCAACTTATGTTGGTTGGCCTCATCTTACCGCAGCTTCCTCGTATGATAATACGGTTTCCTGTAAATATTGCGTATGTATGGGCATGTGTCCCAGACTCGCGTGAATTAGACAATTTTCTCTAATAATTTATGCGCAGAAATGCATACATTGGCTCGGGAAGGCACTTGCTCTATGTTTAAAATTATCTATTAGATGATCCGTAAAATGATTTTGGAAAATTTTCATACAATGCAAGCATTATTGGTTGCACTGTAATCACCTGCACTACAACAGACAGTCAGATCTGTGATGAAGATTTCATAGATAATTATCTATGATTATCTTTGGTAAATTATAATCTACCAAATAAGAATGTTCTTCATTTTTGAAAATCGAAAGAAAACTCCGTTCTCCCGTTAGGAAAGTCAACGAATTAAATATAGTAAAACGATACAAGAAACAGAAATTGTCTTGTTCCATTAATATCGGAATGATTAAGGGCGAGAAAGTACAACTGATTCGAAATGAAACCATGAGGTTTCTCTAGACTTTCCCCGTATCTTCATTCGTGAAATAAGAACGCTATTGGATTATCAATATTTAACGACCATAGTGAATTCCTTGTACGAGAGCAAAAAAAAATCATTGTTCGAAGCGTCTTCAGTTTTTATTTACATTGTTTCAAAATCAGTCGCTGCTAAAGATTCGATCTGTAATGAGCATAAACAATCATCGTCTCAGCCATATCTTATTTATTTGTTTCTTTATTGGGTTGGCAGCTAAGTAATTGCCGATTTGTTCAATGAAATAAAAAATTTTTTTTACTTGGAACGAAGTTTAATCTGCAATGTATTTTCCATTTTGTTCGATGACCTTTTGCCATCTCTCTGACAACTTGAAAACTCCACGCTCGTAGAAAGTCTGATCCTTTTCGGCCGAAAACTGAGTTAAGTGAGATTTTACAGCGTCGTCATCGTTAAAAGTTTTACCACGAAGGGAGTTGTCCAGGGATCGAAATAAGTGGTAATCCGATGGCGCGAGATCAGGGCTATATGGTGGGTGTAACATCAATTCCCAACCGATATCCATCAATTTTTGCCGAGTGGACAAAGACGTGTGCGGCCTAGCATTGTCCTGCTGGAAAATGACACCTTCACGATTGACCAATTCTGGTCGCTTTTCCTTGACCGCTGCATTCAATTTGTCCAGTTGCTAACATTCACGGNATAATAATAATAATAATAATAATAATAATAATAATAATAATAATAATAATAATAATAATAATAATAATAATAATAATAATAATAATAATAATAATAATAATAATAATAATAATAATAATAATAATAATAATAATAATAATAATAATAATAATAATAATAATAATAATAATAATAATAATAATAATAATAATAATAATAATAATAATAATAATAATAATAATAATAATAATAATAATAATAATAATAATAATAATAATAATAATAATAATAATAATAATAATAATAATAATAATAATAATAATAATAATAATAATAATAATAATAATAATAATAATAATAATAATAATAATAATAATAATAATAATAATAATAATAATAATAATAATAATAATAATAATAATAATAATAATAATAATAATAATAATAATAATAATAATAATAATAATAATAATAATAATAATAATAATAATAATAATAATAATAATAATAATAATAATAATAATAATAATAATAATAATAATAATAATAATAATAATAATAATAATAATAATAATAATAATAATAATAATAATAATAATAATAATAATAATAATAATAATAATAATAATAATAATAATAATAATAATAATAATAATAATAATAATAATAATAATAATAATAATAATAATAATAATAATAATAATAATAATAATAATAATAATAATAATAATAATAATAATAATAATAATAATAATAATAATAATAATAATAATAATAATAATAATAATAATAATAATAATAATAATAATAATAATAATAATAATAATAATAATAATAATAATAATAATAATAATAATAATAATAATAATAATAATAATAATAATAATAATAATAATAATAATAATAATAATAATAATAATAATAATAATAATAATAATAATAATAATAATAATAATAATAATAATAATAATAATAATAATAATAATAATAATAATAATAATAATAATAATAATAATAATAATAATAATAATAATAATAATAATAATAATAATAATAATAATAATAATAATAATAATAATAATAATAATAATAATAATAATAATAATAATAATAATAATAATAATAATAATAATAATAATAATAATAATAATAATAATAATAATAATAATAATAATAATAATAATAATAATAATAATAATAATAATAATAATAATAATAATAATAATAATAATAATAATAATAATAATAATAATAATAATAATAATAATAATAATAATAATAATAATAATAATAATAATAATAATAATAATAATAATAATAATAATAATAATAATAATAATAATAATAATAATAATAATAATAATAATAATAATAATAATAATAATAATAATAATAATAATAATAATAATAATAATAATAATAATAATAATAATAATAATAATAATAATAATAATAATAATAATAATAATAATAATAATAATAATAATAATAATAATAATAATAATAATAATAATAATAATAATAATAATAATAATAATAATAATAATAATAATAATAATAATAATAATAATAATAATAATAATAATAATAATAATAATAATAATAATAATAATAATAATAATAATAATAATAATAATAATAATAATAATAATAATAATAATAATAATAATAATAATAATAATAATAATAATAATAATAATAATAATAATAATAATAATAATAATAATAATAATAATAATAATAATAATAATAATAATAATAATAATAATAATAATAATAATAATAATAATAATAATAATAATAATAATAATAATAATAATAATAATAATAATAATAATAATAATAATAATAATAATAATAATAATAATAATAATAATAATAATAATAATAATAATAATAATAATAATAATAATAATAATAATAATAATAATAATAATAATAATAATAATAATAATAATAATAATAATAATAATAATAATAATAATAATAATAATAATAATAATAATAATAATAATAATAATAATAATAATAATAATAATAATAATAATAATAATAATAATAATAATAATAATAATAATAATAATAATAATAATAATAATAATAATAATAATAATAATAATAATAATAATAATAATAATAATAATAATAATAATAATAATAATAATAATAATAATAATAATAATAATAATAATAATAATAATAATAATAATAATAATAATAATAATAATAATAATAATAATAATAATAATAATAATAATAATAATAATAATAATAATAATAATAATAATAATAATAATAATAATAATAATA